TCTTTGGAGCAGTAGAAAGCTGGTGGAGCCTTTTAAGAACATTGTAACTGATTTTTGAATATGAACGCGTAGGCCCCTTCTGTGGGTTTTAACCAAAAAAAAAAAGTATATTTCTATGATATAATATATATTGATTATACATATAAAAATATTGATTTTTATGTGGTCATGTTGAATGTATTGATATTTACACATGTTGAAGTCACTAATGTTTCTTTGCTCATATGATTGAAAATGTGTGAGAATGAAAAGGAAATAGAGGTGGCTGGTGGTGAATATTTCTTGTGCAATTAATTGAAGTTATAAGAGCCTGTGTAATTATATGATTGCTCATCATTATGTTTGATATGCTTAAATAGATGTGATGTCAATAAGTGGAGATATAAGTGGGAGTGGAGATATAAGAGGCATAGGGTAAATATGAACAAGTGGAGGTATAAGGAAGCGAAGGGAAAATATGAATAAGTGGAGATATAAGTGAAAGTGAAGATATAAGGAGGCAAAGAAAAAATGTATGAAATGTTTAATATTATTTTCTTTAATGTTATTTTATTTTTGACATCATGTTTAATTACATGCTTATTATGTTATTTATAGCATGTACCTGCTACTAATACCTATCTGATAATTATAATATATAATATAAACGTAATGTTAGTTTAGTATAAGCATTTTGTATTATTTATACAATTTTTTACTAACCAAGTTTTTTTATGTGTATATGTTGAATTTTGAAGCAGGCTTCGAGTAACCTATTGAGCTCTAAGCAAGTGTAGCTCACTCATACTTTACTTATACATGTTAGTTTAAGGAAAAAATAAGTCTCTAGTTAATTAGAAACTACTAACACCCATAGGGACACAAATTAGGTAGGTTTATTTTATAGACTCATTATTTCGATAGTCCAAGTAGATGTATATGATTAGGTGAATAGAGTGATTATACTAGAATGGTTATTTATTACTATTTTGGTTTTTTTTTACCAAAGTAAATAAAAGGATGTTGATATTTTTATTTACTATTTATTTGATAATAAAGAAAGGCTCTTTGTTATAAATTTCAAAGAAAGTATATATATATCAGGCCATAAGATATAATTTGAAAGAATTACCTCTTTTTAAATCTTCTTACTACTAGAGCCACTAGTAATATACTTTTAAAAATAAATAAGTGATAATATCACTTCATTTCATATAATATCTAAAATGTTATACTTATCCACTTAGTTCATATATCCAAAAATCATATATAATAGCCATAAATATAATTTATCATACTAGTTTATCCCTTACACATTCATGATTACAGCAAAAAGAATAAATAATATTAAACAAAAATACCTATATCAACAACCTTGAATTAGTCTCACTCCACTAGGTCCTTACCCTTCCCTAAAATCATGCAAATCACATATAATGAGTAGAAAGCTCAGTAGGTCACTAAGCCTTACAACTATATTCAACGCATAAAATAGAAGTAATATGCATGTAATCATTCATATTATATCAATATGAACATGTAATAGCCCTTATGAATAATAAAGATTGTATTGATAGTGCAATTAATATAAATTAATAAATAGTATTAATCAATGTGATCAATAACCATAAAGGAATCAATAGCTTTGTCAGTTCTATGCTAGTGTTATTTATGGTATTGTATCAAGTAAAATAATGAATCTATGAATTCATCAAATATGAATTTATATCTTTAAGTTATCATGAATGAATGATGTGCCTATACTAAATCAATCATATCAGTATGCTTATCATGTAATGTGATATTTCATATATCAATTTGAATGCATGTCAATCTGTATCATTGCAAGTATATTATGTATGAATGTCATGTATCATATATATCATGCATCATTATCATGTATCGTGTGTCATATATTTTATATCAATTTAATCAATCTTATCCTATGTCTTCATTAGTTATACATTGTATCTTATTTTTGTCAGATCATATCTTTTATGCAATTATGATATCTTTATATCGTGTATGCATGTTCATGTAACATCAATATTGAGAAGCCATGAATTCTCAAGATCATGATGTGACAGTTGGATTTTCCAATCACAAAATTATAATACATAGTATAACTAGAACTAGACATCAGATTCCATAATGTAGTTTGCTAATTTGGTAGGCCACTTGATCGGTGATGTGCATAGTAAGATGTTTACTTCGAGAGTGGAAGAGGAGATATACATCTATAGTTGTTCTTTAGATTGAAACCTCCTTATTCTCAATGGCTTAATAGAGTCTAGGCTGCTAAGAACAAGTTAATGAGGTTTGAAAAATCTTTTGATAGCATAATGCAATACCCATAGAATCAAAAGATACTATTACCAATTTTCCAATTTGAAAGAAAAGACGAGTGCTTGTGGTTAGGGCAATAAATGGAGAAATTTCAAGGCAAGATGAAAGCTAAAATTACGAGGGACGAGTTCTCTAAGACTTTAAAAGATTGGTTTGTACCATTGATTATCCAAGAGTTTTAAGATAGCATATTAATAGTATATTAAAGAGAATGATTTTAAATTTATAAACAAATATAGTATATTAATTCAAAATTGTTAAAATTATAATAATTTCATAACTTATAATTTATTATATATTATATGAGAATTTTTCAAAAAAAAATTCAATAACTTATTCATAAGAAGAAAAAAACTCTTTTCTTTTTTTTTTAATTCGTCCCGGTCTCTTTTATTAACACCGTCTACCCTACCAAAGCCCCATATGTCCTCCGTTCGTTCTGCTAAGGGCTGACTACTTCGCTTCGACTCGAAAGAAATATTAGCTAGCATAGGATGTGCAACGACCGACATGACGAATCATCGGCGATGCTCACCGCCTTGCCCAGCTTCGGCCATCCACCAAAACTCAGCGCTTCCCCGTACACCATCTCCCCTCAAAACTCCTCTCCGGCCGAAGCCGACGAGGATTGCAGCAACGAAGACTTCGAGTTCTCCTTACTGATTCGTGATTACGAAACCCACCTTCCGATCGCCGCCGATAAAATTTTCTCCAACGGCCACATCCTACCCGTGTACCCCGTCCTCGCCAACACCTCCGCCGCCTTCACGGAGAAACCAAAGCGGCAGCGACTGCTCCAGCTTCTGATGGAAGAGCACGATTGGTTGACGTCGGAAACCTCCTCGTCCTACACCGATGAACTGGAAGGGATTCCTCTGGGAACTTACTGCTTGTGGCCACCGGCCCAGTCTAATGGCTCGGTCTCTAAATGCTGCTCCACGGGATCAATGCTCCTGTGGTGGATTCGTGATCTGGTTCTTCGCCGGAGTAATAGCGATAGGAAGAAGGTAGTTATTCGTGCCGCGGAGGAGAAGAGATCCACGGAGAGGAAGCTGGATGCGGAGGGATCTAAGAATAAGGGGAAGGAAATGGATCTGATCACCGCTCATCGGTTGTACTACGTCCAAAATTGTCGTGGAGGGAGCCGCAAGTCATGCCTGCCTTACAAACCAGAAATTGGGGGTCTCTTTCACCGGGCTGGTTAAGGTGCGACCATCATCATCCATTGCTATTATTGCTATGAGCTGAAAAGAAATTTTTTAAGAAAGAAGAAAAAATCGTACATACTAAATTCTCATTTTATATAAATAATAAAATTTGTTATTTAAGTTGCTGATTGAAATATTCTTATTATTCTATCGCAAAAATAAATCAATATATTCATTTAATTTTTTCATTGTATTTATCTAAAAATAAACTTAAAATTTTCAAAAAAAATCATGACTAA